TGAGCATGTTTGATAGGAGTGAATGGAGACAAATGGTTTTTAATACTTGACGTGCTGTTGGAGTGTGAGCAAAGTAACATTTATGAAGGGGTTCAGGGAAACCGGCAGGCCGGACTTGAGTCCTGGAGATGGGAAGTACAGTGCCTGCACTCTGAAGGAGGGGTGTTAATGTTGCAGTTTAAAAACTGTAGTGTAAAGCACCCTTCTGGCAAGACAGTGATGGAGTGAATGATGGTGAAAGTTTTTCTTTCAGGCCACCCTGCCTTGGTGGGAATCAGCCAGTGTGATGATAAAAAAAAAAAAAATATATACCTGTACCTAAATAAACTTACTGTGCTGGCATGTAGGTACATATTAAAATCAATAAGAGTGTCTTATGTCTTGAGATGTCATATTAGTAATGATAATAATAATCACCGAGTCTCGTTTAACCCTTTCAGGGTCCGTCCCGTAGATCTACGGCTTTACGTTCAGGGTCCAAACCGTAGATCTACGTCATGAGCTCAGCTCACTCTGATGAACTGTGATATGAGAGAATACATCTATGTGCTATGTGTGCACCACATAAAACAGATCCTGCAGCACACTGTGTATAATGAGAGAAAAAAAAACTGAAGTCATGATTTTTCGATTAAAACAGGGAATTTGCAGTGTTTTTTCGTATGTTTTTTGTAGTTGTATTGCGATTTCTTGGTCTCATTTGATACAATGGAAGGCATATTACAGAAATAGAGATGATTTTGATTGGTTTTAGCACTGGAAATGGCTCGAAACTGAGCTCAAAGTAGCAGAAATGTTAAATTTTTGCCGATATTCAAGAGTAAACAAACGACCTCACACGTCTAATACACACCAGCTGGTGGGTCTAATATGCATTCAAAATATGGTGATGATATTTATACAATTATTACCGTATTGCATAACAGTAAATCTTCTATTTTTTGGTGTGAATAAAAATTCATTATGTGAATAAAAAATCAAAATGGAATTTATTTGTAAAACCTCAAAACATAACTAATGAACAGAGAAAATGTTAGTTTAGTTCCAGGAATATCTACATTGTTTATTCTGGACCCTATTTTGAAATTGGAATATTTTGAACTTTGTGTTAAATTGGCCAAATTAACAATTTCCTCTCACTTTAATTTGTAGTTGAAACAGTTGACTTGGCGATTTCTTGTGCTCAATCGATAGAATAGAAGTAATACTAGTGAAATAGCTAAGAATTTGGTTGACTGGAATAATGTAATTGGCCTAAAATGGGAGTCAAAGTCGGCAAAATCGCCGATTCGTAAATATCGCTGACACATCAAAATTCGCGAGAGCATAATTTCATCAATTTTCCATCAAATTTCGTACTTTTTGTTTTATTACCTTCACAAAAAGATTCTCTACCATTTCATAAGAAAAAATAACATTTTTTTTTTGAAAATTCTTGGACACTGGTGCACCACTTCAGATTTTGGCCTTGGACCCTGAAGGGGTTAAATGTCATTTATTACGTTAATATACACATTTTCATTAATCCATCTATGATATTTTTTCAAAATTATATAATAAACACAATGCAAATCATATAAAGATGATAAAGAAACCCCACAGTAGAATAAATAAACATAAATATGAGTTGTGGTAGCCAGACGACTTGTACAAGCGACGCCATATTAGAAATAATAATAATAATCACTGAGTCTCATTAAATGTCATATATTACGTTAATATACACATTTTCATTAATCCATCCATGATATTTTTTCAAAATTATATAATAAACACGATACATAACATATGAAGATGATACATACACCCCTCAATAGAATAAATAAACATGTCGTAGCCAGATAATTTGTACAAGTGACGGCAAGAATAAAATTTTTCTTTAGTCTAACACAAGAGAAAATGTGTTACTGGGGATAACTGTAGAAAGTTATTCCTTTCATATGTTTTTCTTTTTTTTCCAACAAGTCGGCCGTCTCCCACCGAGGCAGGGTGACCCAAAAAAGAAAGAAAATCCCCAAAAAGAAAATACTTTCATCATCATTCAACACTTTCACCACACTCACACATTATCACTGTTTTTGCAGAGGTGCTCAGAATACAACAGTTTAGAAGCATATACGTATAAAGATACACAACATATCCCTCCAAACTGCCAATATCCCAAACCCCTCCTTTAACCCTTTGAGGGTTTCGGCCGTACTAGTACAGCTTACGACCCAGGGTTTTTGACGTACTAGTACGCCTAAATTCCAGTGCCTTCAAATCTAATGAGAGAAAGCTGGTAGGCCTACATATGAAAGAATGGGTCTATGTGGTCAGTGTGCGCAGTATAAAAAAAATCCTGCAGCACACAGTGCGTAATGAGAAAAAAAAAACTTTGACCGTGTTTTTGGAATAAAACAGCGACTTTGCACTGTATTGTCGTATGGTATTTATTGTTGTATTCTAGTTTTCTTGGTCTCATTTTATAGAATGGAAGACATATTACAGAAATTGAGGTGATTTTGACTGGTTTTACAATGAAAAGTACCTTGAAATTGAGCGCAAAGTAGCAGAAATGTTCGATTTTTATCAAAGTTCAAAAGTAAACAAATCATGCCAAGCTTCCAATACACGTCAACTGGTGAGTCTAATATTCTTTCACAAGTGCACTGATATTATTTATACCATTTCTACACTAATGCAGTAGTCTGCATAACAGTAAATCTTCTATTTTTTGTAAGAATAAAAATTCAAAGTGGAAAGCCAAAGAAATATAAGAGAGGCCTGGGGATGTGACTAACGAACAGAGAACTTGTTATTTTAGTGCCAGGAATGACTTTTTTGTTTATTCTGGACCCTATTCGGAAATTGGCATCTTTTGAAATTTGTGTAAAATTGGGACCACTTTATTGGATGGTTGAAATTGATAAATGGGTGGTTTCTTATACTCATTCGATAGAAAAAATGGAGTTCTAGCAAAATAGTTATGATTTTTGTCGACTAGTACATTGAAATTGGTCGAAAATAGGGCTCAAAGTGGGCAAAATCGCCGATACGTAAACATCGTCAAGACCGCTAACTTCACGAGAGCATAATTCCGTAAGTTTTCCATAAAATTTCATACTTTTGGTGTCATTATGATCGGGAAAAGATTCTCTATCTTTTCATAAGAAAAAATAATTTTTTTTTTTTTTTGAAATTTGGCCGACCCTGAGAACAAGTTTCGGAGAGGGCCTGTTGACCCTCAAAGGGTTAAAGTGCAGGCATTGTACTTCCCATTTCCAGGATTCAAGTCCGACTATATGAAAATAACCGGTTTCCCTGAATCCCTTCACTAAATATTACCCTGCTCACACTCCAACAGATCGTCAGGTCCCAAGTATCATTCGTCTCCATTCACTCCTATCTAACACGCTTACGCACGCTTGCTGGAAGTCCAAGCCTCTCGCCCACGAAACCTCCTTTACCCCCTCTCTCCAACCCTTTCGAGGACGACCCCTACCCCTCCTTCCTTCCCCTATAGATTTATTTGCTTTCCATGTCATTCTACTTTGATCCATTCTCTCTAAATGACCAAACCACCTCAACAACCCCTCTTCTGCCCTCTGACTAATGCTTTTATTAACTCCACACCTTCTAATTTCCACACTCCGAATTTTCTGCATAATATTTACACCACACATTGCCCTTAGACAGGATATCTCCATTGCCTCCAACCGTCTTCTCGCTGCTGCATTTACCACCCAAACTTCACATCCATATAAGAGTGTTGGTACTACTATACTTTCATACATTCCCTTCTTTGCCTCCATAGATAACGTTTTTTGACTCTACATATACCTCAACGCACCACTCACCTTTTTTCCCTCATCAGTTCTATGATTAACCTCATCCTTCATAAATCCATCCGCCGACACGTCAACTCCCAAGTATCTGAAAACATTCACTTCTTCCATTCTCCTCCTCCCCAATTTGATATCCAATTTTTCTTTATCTAAATCATTTGATACCCTCATCACCTTACTCTTTTCTATGTTCACTTTCAACTTTCTACCTTTACACACATTCCCAAACTCATCCACTAACCTTTGCAATTTTTCTTTAGAATCTCCCATAAGCACAGTATCATCAGCAAAAAGTAACTGTGTCAGTTCCCATTTTGAATTTGAGTCCCCATAATTTAATCCCACCCCTCTCCCGAACACCCTAGCATTTACTTCTTTTACAACCCCATCTATAAATATATTAAACAACCATGGTGACATTACACATCCCTGTCTAAGACCTATTTTTACCGGGAAGTATTCTCCCTCTCTTCTACACACCCTAACCTGAGCCTCACTATCCTCATAAAAACTCTTAATAGCATTTAGTAACTTACCACCTATTCCATATACTTGCAACATCTGCCACATTGCTCCTCTATCCACTCTATCATATGCCTTTTCTAAATCCATAAATGCAATAAAAACTTCCCTACCTTTATCAAAATACTGTTCACATATATGCTTCAATGTAAACACTTGATCTACACATCCCCTACCCACTCTGAAGCCTCCCTGCTCATCCGCAATCCTACATTCTGTCTTGCCTCTAATTCTTTCAATTATTACCCTACCGTATACTTTTCCTGGTATACTCAGTAAACTTATTCCTCTATAATTTTTACAATCTCTTTTGTCCCCTTTCCCTTTAAATAAAGGGACTATACATGCTCTCCGCCAATCCCTAGGTACCTTCCCCTCTTTCATACATTTATTAAACAAAAGTACCAACCACTCCAACACTATACCCCCCCCCCCCCTGCTTTTAACATTTCTGTCATGATCCCATCAGTTCCAGCTGCTTTACCCCCTTTCATTCTACATATTATTATTATTATTATTATTATTATTATTATTATTCCTCTAGGACAGATATGTAAAATAAACAAAAATATGTTTGCACCATAAAGTGTAAATCTGTATTTTTTGGTTCTGCTTTCTAGTTTATTTCTAATCATGTTTGAATTTTTTCAGTGCCTCCAACCTTCACATGGTCATCAAATGCTACAAGAAATTTAAATGTCTACATAAGACCAGGTCTTCTTACTGCACTTCTTCAGCCTAGTAATTTATGCAGTCAGACTCCTTTCATGCTCTTTGTAGTCCCTAGTGCCATCAATAACACTAAGGAAAGAGGAACTATCAGAGCAACTTGGGGTCAGTGGGCCAAGAGTAATACATTAAGGACCTCATCTAAAGAAGACCAAATATTTCAGAAGATCATTGGTGTCAAGGGAGGACTGGCAAACATAGCAGAGTTAAAGACTCAGCTTCCTCTGACGTCTAAACTCGTCTTCCTCTTAGGAAAAGCACGAGGGAAGACTCCCATTACCAAGACAATTCAAGCAGAAAGTCAAACATACGGAGATATTATTGTAGAGGACTTTGTAGATTCTTACACAAACTTAACTCTCAAGTCTGTTTTTATGCTCAAATGGGTTCAAAACAATTGTCCTGGAGTCAAGTTTATTATGAAGGTAGATGATGATATTTTTGTTAATGTTCCTAACCTTCATCATTCCCTCCTTAATCAAACTACAAAAGCTCCTCTCTTAACTGGCAATCTTATATGTGGTGCAAGACCAATCCATGACCAGTGGTCAAAGTGGTACACCCCCAAGTACATGTTTCGTGAAGGAAAATATCCAAATTACCTCTCTGGAACTGGTTATGTTATGTCAGCAGACTTGGTTAAACCTCTTCTAAGAATGGCACTTGCTACTCCTTACTTTCATTTGGAAGATGTTTTTTTAACTGGGATATGTGCCAGAAAAATTGGTGTAAATCCAAAGGACAACTTTGGCTTTAGCTATCAGCCTCGAGCAGTCAGTCCTTGTGTGTACAAAGAGGTAATTATGGGTCATGGAGTGATACCATCAGAGATGATAAAACTTTGGAATATGCTCAACCAGCCAAAGACTCTTGCCAAATGTCATCCAATAATTAAATCAAAACTACGTCGCCATTATCCAACAAAGTGCTCCTAGAAATGAAGTGGTTCTAATTCTAAAACAAACTCATAGAAGCTTAGAGGTGAATATAAGATTTAGTATCCTAAAAGAATTTTGCAGTATTCCTTTTTATTATTAATGCATTCTTGTTATGGAATGTTCCTTCATGGTTCATAGTAATTGTACATTTATTGAGAGCTATTTAAGTAATTGAGGAAAGTCTCAAGTTACTGATATACATATATTACAAAATTTATATTGACAGTGTAATCATTACTGAATGAGATTTAATAATTGTTCAAATACTAACCATGTCATGAAGCAAAACTTTAATGCCTAAACCCTGGATATAATGAACTTCAGTATGTTGTACTTTGGAAATACAGAACTAACCCTGCAGAGTCAGTTGTTCCTGAAACAGAAAGAGTCCATTAGTTACAGTATTGTCAGTTACAATGATGGCACAATGATCTCATCTCCATCCACCAGTCAGTGTTACCGGCCAGCTGTTCTTCCTGTCATTATATCAAGGGTTTGCTAGATTGTAATATTCATGTCAAAAAATTGCTTGAAAATTGTAAAATTCTTATTACTACTAGGTGATCATGTACTTTATGCCGGTATAGAGTGCCGTTCCCCTCATCATGCACATATAAATGCCTTGGTCCTTATTACTGTGATATGTCTTACAGCAAATAATGTGCATATATGAATAACAGTTTTGTTGAAGTTTTGTCACTGAGGACAGGTGACATATATAATATTATCTATCTGCTTCTTTTATGTCTTGTGCATTTTATAATGCCTTTCCTTTTTGTCTTTCTGATGAAATATTCTAACAGTCACTAACTGTGAAAAATGTTCTATATTATTATTTTAAATTATTTCAGCAATTGCTGTGATAAGAATCTCTGTTGCTGATATATAAAAGTTCAGACGTGATTTACATTATTCTCCAAAATTATTCATACCCCTTGATGATATGTAACCAAAATCAGATTCAACAGGACTGTGCAGGTGTTGATTCAATATTTTTTAATGCAAATTCTGTGCAGTGGTATAAATCAAAATTTGGAATAGCAAAATCATGAGTGTTGTATATCACATGAGTCACAAGTGCAGTACAGTAGTTATATATACTGTATTTGTAAATACATAATTATACTATTTTCATATTTTTATATATATTGACACACAATACAAACATTAATACTGCTATGCCATTACTCTTCTGGTTATTAGTCTCAAAATAAGGGCAGTTACAAAATCAGGAAATTAATACTGTTTGTCAAACAGTTTGAGAGATCTCCATGCTCACCAGCAGTCAAGTTCTTGCTATTTATTATGAACAAGGGGCTCAGAAAATTGTCTGGAATCTCTTGAGGAAAAATAAGATACAGTGGACCCTCGACCAATGGACTAATCTAATTCACAATATTCCTTATGGGAACAAATTCGTTCAGTACTGGCACCTGAACATACTTCTGGAATGAAATAATATCGTAAACCGGGGGTCCACTGTATATCGCAGGTACACGTGGGATCAATTGAAACGGCTTGTAAACACTGGCACACTGGCTGTACATGGAGTCTTGGAGTGGCTGGGCCCACTCAGGCCCCATGGACACGTTCGGGCCACAAGTCTTTAGACGAGTATATCGCCATTGGTAGAGCCAATTTTTTGACCCCCAAAGAGCACCGTTAGTCAATTTTGGCGTTAGTCGATGCCACCATTGGTTGAGGGTCCACTACTCATTTTTAGATCTGTTAATGACTGTATAAAATATATTTATGTGAAGAAGATTCCGGTCTTGACCATAATCTTCATCATAAAGAGGCTCAAGGATAAATGAAAGGCTGCAATCCTGTCAGGTAGATGAAGAATTGTACCTAAACATGCAGTCAAAAAAGTAGGTCAGGAGACTTGCCTCTAAAGACCAAGTGACAGTTAAGGATCTGTAGAAAAACTGACATTCATTAGGGTACAATTTTTCCAAGACCATTTGATGTCATGAATCTGGTGTCCATGGCAGTGCTGTATGGAAGTAACCTCTTTCAAAAAGACTGCATAAAAGAAAAGAGAAACTCGAGTTTAGTAAAATCATTTGAATGACTGAGTCAGATGATGCTTTGTAATTGGATTAATTGAAAGTGTTGTATGCAAATCAGTGACCTAATGAAGAATACAAGTCATAACACTGTGGCTGGGACATCTTGCAGCTAAAGACCTTGGACAACATTTTTATCTATTCTGGACCATTATTAACCCTTTGACTGTCGCGGCCGTATATATACGTCTTACAAGGTACCGTGTTTGACGTATATATACTCATAAATTCTAGCGGCTTCAAATCAAGGAGAAAGCTGGTAGGCCCACATGTGAGAGAATGGGTCTTTGTGGTCAGTGTGCACCATATAAAAAAATCCTGGAGCACGCAGTGCATAATGAGAAAAAAAACTCCAACCGTTTTTTTTAATTAAAATGCTGACTTTGTGATCTATTTTCGTATAGTATTTATGGTTGTATTCTCGTTTTCTTGGTCTCATTTGATAGAATGGAAAACATATTATAGAAATAGAGGTGATTTTGATTGATTTTACTAAAAAAGAACCTGGAAATGGAGCTCAAAGTAGGGGAAATGTTTGATTTTTGCTGATGTTCAAAAGTAAACAAATGATGTCATTGTCTAATAAATGTCCAACTAGCCATTCTAATATGCAGTCATGAATGGGTTGATGTTATTTACACAATTATTACAGTATTGCAGTAGTCTGCGTGATAGTAAATCTTCTATTTTTTGTTTGAATAAAAATTCAAAATAGAAAGCAAGAGTAATATCAGAGGGGCCTGGAGACATGACTGATGAACAAAGAAAATGTTATTTTAGAGCCAGGAATGTCTGCATTGTTCATTCTGGACCCTATTTTGAAATTGTCATATTTTTTAATTTTCGTTAAATTGGCCAAATTGCAAATTTCTGACCATGTTATTGGGTAGTTGAAATTGGTAAATGGGCATTTTCTTGTACTCAATCGTTAGAAAAAATGGAGTTCTAAAGAAATAGCTATGAGTTTGGTCGACTGGAACAATGGAATTAGCCGAAAATAGGGCTCAAAGTGGGCGAAATCGCCGATTTGTAAATATCGCCGAGGTCGATAACTTCGCGAGAGCGTAATTCCGTCAGTTTTCCATCAAATTTCGTTTTTTTGGTGTCATTACAATCGGGAAAAGATTCTCTATCATTTCATAAGAAAAAATTATTTTTTTTTTTTTTAAATTTGCGACACCAGGAGACACCTCAGGATTGGGGGTTGCGACAGTCAAGGGGTTAAACCACAATTGTTTCAATTATAACTTAAAAACAGTCCAGGACAGACCAGGATATCACCTAAGGTTTCCTCTCCAGCATGTAGGTTAGTTGTTACCATCAGTATTTAATTAGTACTAGCACATGTAGCTGAATGTTAGATGATTATCTTCCCCAACTTATAAAACCAATTCTTATTGAGAACATAGGAAGTATAATAGCTCTTGCACTGTAAATTGCATAAAAAAGGCCTGCACTTGGATGACAGCTAATAATCTAAGATACTCAGTTAAAAAGAAAAGAAAAAAGTAAATTTTTGGGCATACACTTGGACACAAAAAATTATTTTAACACTCATATTTAGCATATAGGTAAGGAAGTTTCAAAAACAATTGGTATACTTTTCAAAATTTGCTACACACCCCAGCTTGACTGCTCTTACTCTATATCTGACATGCACACATTTGATACTTTCGTGGGTGAAAATGTTAGGCATGTTTTCATACATATGCTGCCTTTGTTCACCTTGCAATAAATAGCTACATTCTTGAGGAGGGAAAAAGACCCCAATAGAAATAAGCCACACTAGCTTTCGTGGGTTGTTCTGAGGCAGTCCAAGTAATGCATCTTGATCACCTACACAAAAAAGAGAGTGTGTGTGTTTGTGTGTGTGCATTTATGTTTGGGGTATTGATGACAAACTACCTCCAATCAGTCATCAAACAATAAAAAGCAGACCATACCATGGGCAGGATTGAACCCACGGTCAGTGTGTCTCAAAACTCCAGACCCGCCCGTGGTATGGTTTGTTTGCAATCGTGTCATTACGATTTCATGAGTCAAATAAAAAGTAGCTTCAGCCCCAAATAAAATTTCAATTGTGAGTAGAACACAACATATTTAATATAATCTCTAGACTTAGAAAATATGCATGACAAGCACATGTTCTACCATCCACTCTACCTCTTCACGATCCTGAGCCATAAGACTGACCCTACTTAAGATGCTTCCTTGGTAACTCTAACAGAATACACAGTTACTACACCTAAAACAGTTTCCCTTTGATGTTTCTTGTGTGCAAATAAATGGGCCAAAAACCTGTTACAATCTGCCAGTTGATTCTATCACCTGTACAGTACCAAAGTTCACAAGAAATCTCAAAGAACACTGTGCATATCGAGGTTCTTAGTTACATATACAGTATCTTCTCAAATTATATATACTGTAATTATAATTTTATCTTCAAACTTAGTCTTTTTTTCTTTTTAATAGAGCTAGTCTAACACAGTAATACACATTTTTTGTCTTGAATATTTTTTATTTTTGTTTTAATTTCCATTGGCAATATTCAAACATTAGATTAATATTACGTAAATGTCTTCAGCATTTCAGCATCTCCTAATTTTAAACACTTTACCTACTTACATACATTTTAGTTCCATGGCATTTTAAACTCTGAATCAAGTTTTAACCCGTAAATGGTCCAAACGTATATATACGTTCACTACCGTACTCCCCCAACTTTTTTGAGAAAAAAAGAAACGTTGTGTTTTAATAGGAAAAAAGAGCATATGGTACCCAGGCATCCCCAATTATTTTAATATGGCACACACTGAGTGCTCACACCCATTCTCTCATGTCTAGGTGACTCAGGCTTATCGTGGCAATGTTAAATGTATGACACATAAAACGTATACGTATATACGTTTGGGGCACTAGCTGTAAAAACGTATATATACGTTTGGACCGTTTACGGGTTATTGATATCAGTTGTCACCCAAATTTTACTATTTTTTGCTATTAAATATGTACCCTTCAATTATCATTTGCAGTAAATTTAAATTAGGATTTACAGCTTTTCCTGTTTTTGTAACTTATTCAAGATGTATAAATGTATGTATGGAGAGGGTTGAGCAACAGCTGATACGGTAATCAAAATCGTGACTTGCATAAAGAAAATTTTGGAAAATTGTAAAATTTGTGTACTCACAAATTTGTGCATCTTGGAAAGGAAATATTATTACAAGAACTATAAAGAAATGCAGGAAAGTAAAGCTAAGTGTATAATCACTGCATGTAAAAGTTGGTAATATTTACCTGTCTTCTTACATCTTCATGACACAGAAAGAAGAGACCAGGAATCCTGCCAGAGTGCACAATGTTTAATAGGCTTTTCTTTGAGTCGTATGGTAGTGTGGAAGTGCCTTCCTTGATGAGCAGTCTCTGCCAACTACTAAAATATTGTGTCCTGTGGCCTGGTTGGCAATGCTCTCGCCTCACACACTGAGTGTCCGTGTTTCGATCCCCGACACTGGTGTTCACCTAGCATCAAGTAGTGTTAGTTGACTGGTGGGGGTCGCATCCTGGGGGACAAGATTGAAGGACTTCAGAGGAAATAAGACAGTCCTCGATGATGCACTGACTACCCCTCTGGGTAAAATTCCAGATATCTTATCTTAAAGGCTACAAAAACTGCCTCCTCCATGTAATTAAGCTAAAGGAAGCTTGATCAACCACAGTACTGATTACCAAGTTACAAGTAAATGCAAGCATTGTTGATTTTACATTACATGTAGTGTATCTCTTATTGTGTTAGGCTGTTAATACAATATTAATAGTTACACTGATATTTACTTTCTCATGCATTTGTCATGAAAAATATTGACTTAACTAAATCATCTTCCTGAAGAGACTCATAATTAATACATTTCATCATGGGGTATGCAGGTAAATAAATTTGGAGGCAACTGTATATCTGAATTTTGGATGCATGATATTTTTAAAGCACCTAGTCATAGTAAATATTAATACTGTATATGAGAATATCCTAGTCGAACTAATATAGGGTTTAGTATAATATTTAGTTGTTCAATTATAATATGTGTAAAATGCAGTTTGTGCTTGCCAGATATAAGTCCGAGTAATAGCTCAGTGACTCAGTCCCATTTGTTAAGTGTTAAGGTGAGGTGCAAGAGAAGCCCTTATTCTGTGACTTTGTATGCCCAGTTCCTTTAATAATAAGACAAAACTAAAAATTAAATGAGTTCTTAACAGAGTTATGTAATGAATCTCAATAAAGAAATGTTTACAAGTAATATAATTGACACAGTAAAATTTTGTTATTCTTGAGGGTGATATTCCTGTGGTTAGTACCAGCACCAGCATTCATAATCAACCATCTTTGACTCTCCTGCAGTACTGCATACACTTTTACCTAATTCCTTCATATTTCTTAGCAAAATTAGTGAAATATAAGAAAAGAAAGAAGGAATACTGCAGCAAGCCTATGGGCTTATGCAAGGCAGGGCCAAGTTGCCCACCTGCTTATGCCACTGACCCAACCTACTCAGGTCCAGGTCACATACGCTTAAGGAAGGGGCACGGCATCAGACCTACTAGCACAAGCTAGTCATGTCCAAGTCACACCTACTCATGTATTTATCTAACCTATTTTTAAAACTACACAACGTTTTAGCTTCTATGACGGTACTTCGGAGTTTGTTCCACTCGTCCACAACTCTGTTACCAAACCAGTGCTTTCCTATATCCTTCCTGAATCTAAATTTTTCCAACTTGAAACCATTGTGCTGAGTCCTGTCTTGGCTAGATATTTTTAGCACGCTATTTACATCCCCTTTATTTATTCCTGTTTTCCATTTATACACCTCAATCACATCTTCCCCTAATTCTACATCTTTCTAGAGAGTGTAGATTCAGGGCCCTCAGTCTATCCTCATAGGGAAGATTTCTGACACACTGAATCAACTTTGTCATCCTCCTCTGTACGTTTTCCAGTACACTTATGTCCATTCTGTAATGCGGTGACCAAAACTGTGCAGCATAATCTAAATGAGGACTAACCAAAGATATATAGAGTTGAAGAACAACCTGAGGACTTCTTTTATTAATGCTTCTTGATGTGAAACCAAGGATTTTGTTCGCTTTATTGCGAACAGATTGTCTTGGTTTCAGATTACTGCTAACCAGAACTTATAAATCCTTTTTGCAATCAGTAATATTAAGATCTACACTATTTAGTTTATATGTGGCATTGTAATTTTCCTGTCCAACATTTAGAACTTTACATTTGTCAATATTAAACTGTATCTGTCACTTCGACCACTGCATCAGTCTATTCAAATCTTCCTCGAGTACTCTAATGTCCTCATTAGCATTAATTTGACGGCCTATTTTGTTGTCATCAGCAAATTTGCTTATGTTGCTATTTATTCCCTCATCTATGTTTATGTAAATTGTGAACAACAAAGGGCCCAACACTGACCCCTGTGGAACACCACTTGTGACTTGCCCCACTCTGATTTTTCCCCATTTATAAGAAGAAAGAAGGAACACTGCAACAGGCCTACTGGCCCATGCGAGGCAGGTCCAAGTCTCCCACCAACTTAAGCCAGTGCCCCAACCTAGTCAGGTAAGGTTACATTCACTTAAAGGAGCACAGCATCAGACCTATTAGCACAAGCTAGTCAGGTCCAATTCGCACCCACCCACATCCACTCGTGTATTTATCTAACCTATTTTTAAAACTACACAATCTTTTAGTTTCTATGACAGTACTTCAGAGTTTGCTCCACTCATCCACAACTCTATTACCAAACTAGTGCTTTCCTATATCCTTCCTGAATCTGAATTTTTCCAACTTAAAACCATTGCTGCGAGTCCTATCTTTTCTAGATAATTTTAGCATGTTATTTACATTCCCTTTATTCCTGTTTTCCATTTATACACCTCAATCATGTCCTCCTTAATTATACGCCTTTGTAGAGAGTGCAGATTCAGGGCCTTCAGTCTATCCTCATAGGGAAGATTTCTGATACCTGGGCTCAACTTTGTCATCCTCCTTTGTATGTTTTACAGTGCATTTATATCCATTCAGTATTATGGTGACCAGAACTGTGCAGCATAATCTAAACGAGGCCTAACCAAGGATATATAGAGTTGAACAACAACCTGAGGACTCCTATTATTTATGCTTCTTGATGTGCAGCCAAGGATTCTGTTCACTTTATTGCAAACACTTATGCAGTGTTGTCTTGGTTTTAGATTACTTCTAACCAGAACTCCCAAATCCTTTTTGCAATCAGTACTATTAAGATCTACATTATTTAGTTTGTATGTGGCATGATTATTTTCCTCTCCAATGTTTAGAACTTTGAATTTGTCTATACAGTGGAACCTCTACTTACGAGTTTAATCCATTCCGTGGCCTTGCTCGCATTTGATTTGCTCATTTGCAGAGTCAATTTTCCTCGCTTAAATTAATTGAAATGGAATTAATCTGTTCCCATGGAATTCCAGGCACAACAAAATACTCCAATAATTTCCCTGATATCAACTCTATGGCTTATTTATCTATCACAATTCATCTAATATGACATAAACCATGTAAATAACATAGAAACCTGATATATACTCTAGAATGAATAAAATATATCATTATTTGACAGGTGGAGGCATCCACAACTGCTCCCGTATTGTTGTGGTATTCACTGACATCTAGTAGCCTTTTGAAGCCATCTGTTATTATAATTGTTATTATATAGTACATTATTATTATACTTGTATTATTATCATACAGTGGAACCTCAAATATCGAACTGCTCCCAACTCAACCAGTTATGTAAGTGTATTTTTGTAAGTGCTTCTATAAGTGTATTTTTAAAGGTCTGCAATGAACTAATCTAATTTACATTATTCCTGATGGGAATAAATTCATTCGGTATCGGCACTCGAACATCCATCTGGAACGAAGAAAGTTCGATATTTGAGGTTCCACTGTATGTATTATTATTATACATGTATTATTATATGTATTATTGTTATTATTATTATTATTGCAGCGCTGTATAGTCCTTGTGGCTTAGCGCTTCTTTTTGATTATAATAATAATAATAATAATTATTATTATTATTATTATTACAATATACATGTAAATAATTTGTAATTTTTATTCACACAAAAAATAGAAGATTTACTGTTATGCAGGATACTGCATTATTGTAATAATTGTATAAATAATGTCAACCCATTCATGACTGCATATTGGAATGGACATTGACGTCATTTGTTTACTCTTGAACATCGCCAAAGAATCGAACATTTCTGCTATTTTGAGCTCAATTTCAAGGTACTTTTCTTCATGAAACCAATCAAAATCATATGTATTTCTGTAATATATCTTCCATTCTATCAAGTGAGACCAAAAAAACAAGAATACAACCATTAAAACCATACAAAAATACTGCTAAGGGGTGGCTAACGGCTGAGAAGTGAACTCCATTATTTATGGTCCGATTTCCTTCATTTTTGGTGTACGTTAAGAAGCATCTTTCTATCATACATTGCCCAAGTTTCAATAAGATAGTCCAACAAACAGATGAGATCCAGTTTCCTAGATCAAGAGCAAGAGCCCCTCACCAGCGTCAAGGAACCTCCCTTGAGGCCCACTCACTTACGGAAATTTCGCTCGCGTATGGAAAAAAAAAAAATTGACTGAGCAACTGCACATATATTTGGAAAAACTCAAACGTAGATACGCTCGCAAGTGGAGGTTCCACTGTATAAAACTGCATCTGCCACTTCTCCAACCACTGAATCAGTCCATTCAAATCTTCTTGGAGTGCTCTAATGTCCTAGTCAGAAAGAATTCGACAGCCTATTTTGGTGTCATCAGCAAACTTGCTTATGTCGCTATTTATTCCCTTATGTAGATTGTGAACAACAAGGAGCCCAACACTGACCCCTGTGGAACACCGCTCGTGATGCTTCCCCACTCTGATTTCTCTCCATTTTTGCAGACTCCCTGCGGCCTATCTGTCAACCACACCTCTATCCAGGAAAAAATTTCATCTCCTATTCCCTGTGCCTTAAGTTTTCTCAATAGCCTCTGATGTGGAACTCCATCGAAAGCCTTACTGAAACCCATATTCACAATATATTCATTAAAGGTCCACATCCCTTTATCCGAAACCCTTGGGGCCAGCAGGTTTCGAATTTCAGAATTTTTCGAATTTCAGAATGAAGGTGGGGTCTAGAGCAGCACCCCACAATCAAGCATTAACACTGCAGCAAAAACATATGAATACTGACACTAAGTAGGATAAATAAAGACTACAAATACTACTACAGTTTATTTTTAGAATAATATATTGATAAATGAAATAATGGGATAATTGTAGACCAGGAACATGATTCTCAAGACGATTGACAGACGTCATTTTTGAAGACTTCTTCAAGTGTCATCTGTGTTATTAACATAGGTTTCTGTGTAAGCAATCTCTCTCTGAGTAAATTGCCATAATCTCTTGCTCACTGATAAATGCACGTTGTTCAAGGCCAGCAATTAACTGATCACACATTTTCACCATTTCATCTATGGGGACTTTTTCACCTGTGTTCACAATGTCATCATCACTATTATTCTCATGCTTATTTGTATTTAACATCATTTCAGCAATTTTACCATCACTCAAGGAATGTAGAACAGGTGCATCATTGTCAATGTTCAGCATTTCTTCGATGTCAGCTTCCTGTAACTTATTTACACTTTCATCCTATAAACTTTGTGTAAGTTACGAAGTTTAATATCATCGTCATCTCGTCAGTGACATGAAATCCTTCAGAGTCTTCATATGTAGGTTCATTTACATCTAACATCATTGTAGGCCAAAGTCTGTGCCAAGCATTTGTTAATGTTGATTTATCAATATCTTTCCAAGCATTAGCAACTGCATTAACAACAGTGGTAGTTCCAACACCATATTCTTCAGTAAGATGCCACACTGACACACCACAATCAAGCTTCTGCAGTAATTCTACTTTCTGCATTTTTAATAACATCAGATGCTTCCTTTTCTTTTTGTCACTGTTACTCATAGGGGTATCTGCAGCTCTTTTTGACATTTTCACAGTGAAATAAGCAGTCAGAAAATAAAAGAGCAAAAACAAAATATCTATGAACAGCAGATGCACGTGTGAACACTACAAGTGCTGTGACACAACTTATGCCTGCCACTCTGGCTGTCAGTGCTGGGTCACGCTGCCACATGGTGGTGTTGGAATTATGTAGAGATGACTGGCACTCCACAGTCCATTAA